TCTTCTCCCTGCAGAACTCCTGACATTAAGAACCAGAAGAGCAATGAAAAACTCAGAGCATAAATGACAATAAAAAAGATGAAGATATTAGTTATTATATTTTTTTGTATGAGAACTTGCAATTTTAGTATTGATAATGAAATTTATTTACAATTAATAATCTAGATAGGAAGTGTTTGCATCATTGCAGCTGGGTTAATAATAACAACTGTTGTATTTTGGGTACATTAGTAAATGTTTCTTAAAAACAATTTCCTGGCTTCACTTACAAGAGTTTAGCTTTTTGCACATCACTGTTTAAACAAAGGGAATACAGGGAACTATAGAACCAAAGTGAGCCAAATGTACATATCAAATACATCCAAGAAGTTATGCTAATCTTCTTTTAAAATCCTCTCAGAGACAATATATTAGAGATGGGGAGGGATTAACTGAATTAGAAAACTGAAAGAGTAAAAATAATAAGGAAAATAATTCATCAGTCCTTTATACAGAATGCTGCCACTAAAACCCCTTACAACTGTCTGATGACACCTGTGATTAACGTCTCTGACACAAACAGCCTTTTCTATTTGTCCTGAAATCTTCAGGGCCTAGTTGTTCATTTCTAGAATTTAAATCTAATTCCATGGGAAGCTAATTCCCTGTATTAGTGGGCTCCACTTTCACAACAGTATTGTTATGCATTGCCATGGTCACCTATTTAGAAGTACCAGAAATATCAAATTTAGGTATCTACTTGGGTAAAAAGTAAAAAACAATTGAAAGGATTTATTTGGTATGGGATGACAGTAGTAGAGGAAGAAGAACCAAAAAAAAGAAATACAGGAAATAGGGAATATAAGGAGTAGAAAGTCATGTGATTTGTGCTGTTTGATGGTCCTTTTAAAAAAAGCTCTGTATCTGAATACAGCAGTTTGGAACAGGACAGTAAATTCACTGTTCCACTCTGCATATGTCTGACCTAGTTCCAGTGTATGATTTGAACAAGGACCATGAAGAACTACAGGAGCTCAGAAAACCTGCAAACACTAAATACAAAACAAGAACAGCAAACTGGCAGGACAGAACTGTAATATACAGGACAGAAAAACTACACATGAGGACATGATGAAGATCAAGTATTTTAAAGGTACACTTCTTGGAAATAGTTACTTGGAAAACTCATATAGGAAAAAAAAAATTGATCCTGAGAAGTTCTAGTTTAAGATGTTGGACTAAAAAAGCCATCTCACAGTAGAAAAAAAGAGAAGTACATAAACCCATCTTTCTGGTAGCTGAGAAGGCAAAAATTTCTACTTTTCAGCTTTGAAGATAAAGAGGTAAATTAGAAAGAAATTAAACTTCTCACCTGAAAGAATAAAATACTTTTACATTTCAACCTTGCAGAAGGATGCAATATTAAAAGCTCAGGGTAAATGTAGATTTCCATTCAAAATGGCCTTTGAAAAAAACACATAAAGAAGGAATTTCTCAGTATAATTACAGAGAAGCCTACAAGAGACTATTAGTGGATAAAAAGGTACCCTTCAAAAGTAGAAACCATATCAAAACAAGTAGAACAGAAAAGAACCTTTTAGAGATTTTGAGAAGAAAATGCTCAAGGTATAAAAACTTATAATAAAATGTTTCAATTCATAACTAGCAATCAGCTTTCTACAAGCTAACACTAACCCAGTGTATAGTTAAGATGAAAGGGTAGCATAAATAATACAAAACATACTCAGGAAGATAATTTCAGTGCAGGGAATTGTAAGGAGTTTCTACAGCAGAGAAAGCAGAAGAAACTTGAGGTATTTCCTCAGATTGATGTGTCAATCGAAGGTATTAAAATCTACTATTTCAAGTAATAGTCATGTGCCACCACTTGAATATATTCACTCAAGCATTTCGTTTATGTGACTTCCCTATCAGTTCTTCAACGGTGTTCCTTCCTCATTTATGCATCACCAAGCTGTAACTGTTGTAACTTCATCCATAAAAACAGGTCCAGAGTAGTCTATAAGATGTATTTGATACAAAATTAATCAAACATTAGTGTTTATCATCACAGAAAACAGTATTTGCAGAAGTGGTTGGCATAGAAATTAATTGCCAGCATTTATATTTAGAGGTGAAGTAGGCTTGTCACCTCTGAAACTTTTTTACATCAGAACTCTACAAGAGACTCCTGAGGTATTAATTCTAAGGTTTCAGTTTAATTAAAGTCAGTGCAATGGGTCTTTTTGTTTGTGTCTGCTGTGTTCAATCAATGACATGAACCAGTGTCTGCACAAGCTAGATTTTTGATTAGTAATGGATGGAGACTATTTGTTCAATATACTTATGTAGTCATAAGAGAGAATTAGATATTTACTTTGTCATTTATGATTCATACAGTATTACAAGAATTAGATTTTATAGCTAGTCTTTTTTTATCTCATTGTCAGGAGATCCCAGCGTTCCACAATTTTGCTTACTTAATTAAATCATATGCTCAACTTGTCCTCAGAATATTACTGAGAATTTAAATAAACCCATTTTTTGATAATGTGGATAGCTTGACTTCCTTCTAGACAATCATGAGTTTGCCAGCATTCTACTTATACAGTTTAGATATGTGTCTTTCATCAGATTTAATAAGATTGAACAGAAATATTGAAGTGTGCTTTTGCGTATTTTCTTTTCAAATCAAGTGATAAATCTGGAGACTGATTATTGTCTTCTCTAAAAATTGTCTATCTTTCTAAAAACAAGATATGATTATATTCATTTTAAAACCTAGGGATACACGATTTAGTGGTGTCTTCATTGCTTCATGCTGACTTAAATATCAATCAGATAAGATGTGTGAAATGCAATTTTTTTACCTTAGTCTAGTGCTCAGCATTATCTCAAATTCTCAGAACAGATACAAATTTGTCACTGCCATAAACATACTGCATCATCTATCAAAATATGCAGTTCACTCCAATGTATCCCATATTTAAAATATAGGGGAGGGATCTTACACATCTTTGACATACCTTGGCAAAATGCTGGAAATAATTTTGCTGGTTTTGCTGGCACTGCCATTCATTAGAGAAACAAACTGCTCTGTGAAGCACTGTGCACAGGGAAATGAAGCTGAAATGAGCCAGCAGCTATAGGGAGAGTGGCTTTGTGCATTCTGTCTTCCTCTGCTGTGCAGCTGCTTGAGAAACTAATGCTTCACTGTGTACACTGAAAACCTGAGAAACTACAAATCTATTTCCTATGAAACAGAAAGATCTTAGCATTTTAGTGTTTAGGGTTTTAGTTTTTGGTTTAACTAGTTTATTTTTTAGTTGTTTCTTTACTACACTGTTCAAAGCAGGATCTGAAAGCTCATGGTTGCTACAGCTCTTTAGAATGTGTTTGATACATATTCCTTGTCTATATATCTGGATTGAAAAACCGAAGATCACTGGGGCAAAATGAGCAAGTGAAGTTAGTGTGGATATGAAGCAAATTATTATTAAGCAAATTATTATTATTTTTATTATAATTATTATAATTAAAAAAAAAGTTTATTTCAGAATCAGATGTTCAGAGGTTTTTTTTGTACCACCCTGTTATATGTAACGGATAGACATAAAATGCTAAATAGCATCAACGTGTAGCTTTTAAATTCTGATTTCAACTGAAATAGTTGTTCCTGAAAGATTTTTTTCAATGGGTTGTTCCTGAAAGATTTTTTTCAATGGGTTGTAGTTTTTTTCTGTTTGTTTCTTTGTTTATAGGCAAGTTTTGATGTGTTTTTAGGATCCTCAGAATAGAGATTTTCCATTTTCATTTACAATGAACAGACCAAAATATTTATGCAGTGGACATGAGGGGTTTTTTCTGTCTAAAAGCAGTTAATAGCCTATATTTAAAACAAATACGTATATATAGTTGTTTGATTGTCCATTGTTTTCCAAGAGTTTGTAGAACTGTAAGGAAGAAAAACTAGGCAAGAAGAAACCTTCAGAACTCAAAGAGCATGGAGATTAGATGTTCTGAAATGAGGTCACAGTAGTGAACAGTTCCTCACATGCTTGGTGCATTTAAGAATAATCAGTATTGCCTAATAAAATATTTTCATTGATACTTTCTCCTCCCCAAAATTTCTAATTTTAAGCAAGTAAATAATAGCAATGCTATTTTAAATTTCTGGTGCAGACTGGGTATCTATACCCTCAGTAATCCTAAAGGCATCGCTGAAGACTGGAAAATAGGATGTGAAATAAAAATACCTTTCTTGAGAAATGGTAAGAAATGAGTATTTGTGAATGAAATTTTGCAGCACCATTACTGTGATTGCCTGAAACAAACAAGGCTATTCAGGAATTATTCTAGAGAAACCAAAGTAGTGTCCATTCAGAAGCATTGGTTTTGCTAATCAGTATTTTGTATCTAGTTTCCTGAGATCTTTATATGTAATAGACAGGCAATATTAACACTGAGCAATTTAGCGAACTCTTTATGAGAGGTTCTGGAAGAAATGCGTATGAAATAGTCTTACAGATGAATCAGTGAAATCTTACAGTTTATATGTATCAAATAGGCCTGTGAAATCTGGAAATATCACTGATGAGTGGAAACCAGACCTGCAGCTAAACTGCAAGTGTTTTAACAGTGTTGCAGTCAGCAACTTCAGGATCTCGTCCAGGAAGCCACAGGATTCTGGGGACCAGCATGGAACACCAACTGAGACGGGCTCCAGTTCATGAAACCATTTATTCAGCATGGGAACAAACTCAGGTCGAGAACAGGGAGCCCCAAACAGAAGCACAGCAGGGGATTTTGAGGGACAGAACTCTCAAGGGTCCCCACCTTTGAGGGTGGAGTTCAGGGTCAGGGACCAGTAGAAACACACCAAAGGAGAACCTCTCAGGGACTCAAACCCAATCAGAACACCTGGGCCACCCTTCACAAGGGGTTTGGGGTGGGACAATATAACTCTTTGTCTCCCTGAGGCACACTGCCACATCTGCTCCTTTTCTATTTTTTTTAATATATTTTTTTTTCAAATTTTAACTAGGAGCTTAAAATTTTTCCAAACATACACCTTAAAATCTCGCCTCCTCCACAGAGCATCCGCTTTGCTTTGTGGGACACCAAAAACTCAATAACAAAACACATTAAGCAAACAAACAAAAAACCCCAAAATTAAAAACAAACACTTAAATCTCAGTAAACAGTGATGGTACTCAATACAAATATAATGGGTTTTTAGTTCAGTCTCTTCCACTTTAGGATTCTCTTTCAGGAAGGGTGCAACTCTTAGATCTCCTCTCACGAGGGGCAGAATTCTTCGATCTCCAGCTTCGGCTCGACTCCCATGTGGGCGTCGCCTCTTTAGATGATCTCGGTGGAACACTGGCTTTGGGAGCTCGGTTACAGTTTCGATTTCTCCAGAGGGGGTGTTGCCCACGATGGAAAAGGCAGAGCCCCCAGGGGTGGATCAGCCGAACAAAGGCGGAATGTCCATGGAGCCGGTCCTGCTGTTCTCCTGCTGCTTTGCTGGATGCCACGCATTCTCTCACCATTTGTTGCAGTCAGCAACTTCAGGATCTCGTCCAGGAAGCCACAGGATTCTGGGGACCAGCATGGAACACCAACTGAGACGGGCTCCAGTTCATGAAACCATTTATTCAGCATGGGAACAAACTCAGGTCGAGAACAGGGAGCCCCAAACAGAAGCACAGCAGGGGGTTTTGAGGGACAGAACTCTCAAGGGTCCCCACCTTTGAGGATGGAGTTCAGGGTCAGGGACCAGTAGAAACACACCAAAGGAGAACCTCTCAGGGACTCAAACCCAAACAGAACACCTGGGCCACCCTTCACAAGGGGTTTGGGGTGGGACAATGTAACTCTTTGTCTCCCTGAGGCACACTGCCACATCTTAACAGGTAGATGAAACTCCACTCTCAGAGAAGTGACAGAGCCTAAAGGCAAATCACCATCTAACTGGATAAATGTGACTTGATTATATCAGTTAGGCACAGTCCAGTGCTGAAACAGTACGCAATATTCTCTCATCTAAGAAGTAATTTCATAAGTAGCTGAAAAATAACTAGCAGGGAAATGTCACCAACTCACTGCTTAGCACCATGGCCATCTCTCCTGGTGTTCAAAGTTACAAAAATGAGAAAGTGATTTTTTTTTCTTTCTCTTTTCCCTAATTTGAGGCAGCAGGAATATTTTGTGTGCAAGTAGACATGACAGGTAGTGGAGAACAAGAATTGTGTCCTCCTGTTGATTTTTCTGTGCATTAGCATGACTTCCCTCCCTTCTTTGCTTTGGAAGTTTGGAACTTTCTTCCTTTGGAGAACTTTGGAAGTTTCTTCTTGGGAATGATCAGGCCAATTCATGTTGTATGAGTATTTGAGTAGTTCAGTGACTGTTGGGGTAAAAAGTCATTACTGGAAAAAAACCCCCCAAAAAACCAGAAGAGGTAATTTGCTGTTTTGTGGTACTGACCTACCTTATCCTTCCTAAAGAAAAAAAGAACTTGCTTTCATATCTCTCATGTCATAATTCTTCCATTCTCACAGAGGACACGGTAATAAGGTGATGAATTTCAGCAGTTTTTAAACTTTGTTTAAGCAAGACTAATTATATGATTTTCTTTCCCTTTGTGGTGCAATAGTTGAAGAAGAGTTGATACCAACATTCCGAATGGATGAGGCAATAGTAGTTCTTTCCAGATAAGCACGTTTTCCTAAGAATTAGTTTATGTCTGCCTTAAATATTAAGAGTTCTTTTCAACACTCTAAACCCAGTAATTGGATCAATTATGAGGAAAGAGAAAGAGAAGGTAATTTCATTTTAATCAGAATGATTCCCCAGTACCCTATTATCTAAAGGCACAGTGCTCTCCCACGGTAAAATCTGCCAGGGCAGGACTCAGGAATGTCTTGGCTCTGCATGAGCTCTAGAGGACACATCTCCTTTTCACTGGTTGCCAAGTCAGCCTAGCTCATGGAACATGACCCCCTGGGCTGTCATATTCTTGATTATTTGTTCTTCCACAGGGCTGGAGGAATGAAAAAAAAAATTGAAGAAACGGTTGAAAGGACTCCTGGAACAAAAAAGCAATATATTCTACAATTGAAGTCAAGCTTTCTTAGATCATGTGCCAAAAAAGGCATAGTAACATGAAAGACCAATTATGATGAGATTAGCCTCTTCAATAAGACTGATCAAATAGCTCATTAAGTGTGGTGTATAGTGTAATAGCAATGCACTATGGTAGAACAAAAGGAATTCAGTATTACTGTGTATATCTAATCAAGATAATGTAAAAAAATTCCTACATTTACACTGAAAATATTTTCTGTAAAAAATTACTATTACAAGTTATTCCCCTTTTTACTTGGCAAAATTCACATTTCATTTTCATTAAGAATCATTTTCATAAAGGTTGGAAAAGACCTCTAAGACCATTGAATCCAACTGTGCAGCTAACAAGTCCACTACTGAACCATGTCCCTAAGTGCTACATGTACATGTCTTTTCAATACCTCCAGCAATGGTGATTCAATCACTTCCCTGAGCAGCCTGTTTCAATGCCTGACAAAAATTTTGGTGGAGAAATGTTCCCTAATATCCATCTAAACCTCCCCTGGTGCAACTTGAGGCTATTTCCTCTAGTCCTGTCCCTTGTTACTTGGGATAAGAGACCAACTCTCTCTTTCAGGTAGTTGTCAAGAGCAACAAGGTCTGCTTTTCTCCAGGCTAAACAACTCCTGTTCCCTCAGCTGCTTGTTTTAAGACCCTTCTCCTGCCTTTCATAAGTCCATCCTGACCACACCTGTTCACATGGCTGTTCTGCACCTCTGGATTGAAATTTATTTATTTATGGATTGAAATTTATTTATTTTTTAAATTAATTTCAATCCAGGTTTGTTTTTATTTTAATATTTATTCAAAATATTTTATTGACTTATTGGTTAATCAAAACCATCGATCAAAAACCACGTGATATGAGCTATATAACAAAAATTACTAGTACTCAAGCTAATAATAATATCTAAGTTGTATTTTTATATTTGCACAATAGGAGTACCTAACAATATACCTTATGTTAAAATTGGTTTTGTTCTTAGAAAACACATTAAATGATTTTGTGGCTAAGTGGATTTCTTCTCTGGTCTTATTGCTTGACATTGTGTAAGTCACTTAGCTTCTTTTTTCTTCATGTGCAGTCTGTAAAGTGACCAGTATGCATGTTTCCATTCTACATTCCTTTTAGTGCAAGGGCATTGTTCATTGTATTGTTCTACATCTGAGAGCATGGTGGTTCCTGGTCTAAGCTACATAGTCTGAATGCAGACATAAGGCAGCAATGACACATGTAACTCTTACTTCTGACCTGAAAAAGACTGACATCATCAAATCAGACCTTTATTTAACTATTCCCCCAAATCACTAAATCTTTCCCAATGTATTATATATGATCATTTGATCATATGTAATTACATCTGAATTCAGTGTGTGTTGGCTGTATTTAATAAATCTCAAATTTGTATGAAAATGCTTGTAAGCCACTGGAAAGAGTTGGAGACTTCAAGCAAATAACTTACTTTTCCTTGAAATCTTCCAAGTATGAGACTATTCTGTTTATTCTTCTAATGGGAATCCTCTTTAATAAATGCTGGATTACTAGAATGTAATTTGTGATCATATTAACATGATTACAGCTCTCAGAATCCCAGTGGAGACTCTAGAAATATTATTAGGATTGTCAGTAGAAAGGAGTGTATAGTTTAAAAGGTTCTAAACTAATCATGCACTTATTAGTTATGGCCAAATTCCTGCTAACTCCCAGATGAGGGAGAAAAACCAGAACTAATTACTACAGTTGTGCACACAGGGGAAGGTGTCTGTACTAGAAAAAGTAGAATAAAACAGCTCTCATGCCTATAATTACTTTTTCCATTATGTCATTTTGAATTATTACAGAAAAAAAAATAATAGTAGCATATTAATATGAGGTACTGATGGGCTACAGCAAAATAAAAATGGGTATCAAGACAACAGCTGCAGAATGTTACTCTGTGAAATAATCTTTAAAGTTAGTAGAAGTAAATTTATGAATCCATTTAGCAAAAAGGTATAGCTCTGACTTGAAAATAAGCAGTTCCAGGAACACTAAGATTGATGATTTCAATGATGTTCAGTCTCCGTACTTTAAAAAATGTCAGAATAACAAGTTTTTTTGTTTTAGAATATGAAACAAATGTGAACTACAGAAAAAAATGTTAAAGGGAAAACACTCTTTTCAGAGACCATGCTGATAACTTTCCATATGGTAAATGCAGCTTTTAAAAACCAGCATCTAATCTTATTTTTTAATAAAATTATGATATTTTATTAGGGATTTTGTAATAATAAAACCTAGTAATTTAGATTTTACAGGAAGACAATTTTTAAAACTTTGAGTAATGTCTTGGTTCTAGCCAAGACAGAGTTAATTTTCTGAAGTAGTTGGGAGGGGTCATGGTTAGGACCCAGAAGTTATTATACACCACCTCACAGCATTGCCAGGAGATGGGGAAAAGGAGTCTTTTCTGGGGACAAAGGGCTCTGTCCAGTTGAGAAAACATGGTGTAGTGAATCATCCAGTATTGTCTGGATTTATTTTTCCATGTGAATTGTTTCTTGTAACTTTTGTTATTAATATTGTTGCTGTTACCATTAGTTTCCTTCTGCTGTTTTGGTTTCCAGTAAATGGTTCTTAATCTGTGATCTTCGCCTTTTGTGCCTCCAGTTGGAGAGAGAAGGGTGAGTGGCACATGGTTTTAGCAGGAATATTAAATTGGAGAATGCCAATCCTAAACCATCAACAATCTATCGAAAAGAAACTCCCCTTAATTCTATTCTGTGTTGTATATGTTTGACATTAGATAATTATTCAGGACTGCAGTTTGAGAAAGTTCTGAAATGAAGCTCTTCATCTTTATTATTAAATCATTGCAAAAAGGAGAAATGTAATCACAAACCATCCAGATCATCTCTGTTCCTAACATCCTACGGCTTCATGTTTTACTTTGTTCTCCAAGAAATGCGGATATGAAACTACATCAAAACCTCCACTCCAGAGCTGCATATCATTACCTTGATTTCAATAACAGTATCTGGTCTGATATCTGAATTATTTCAATGGAAGAAGACTGTGTTTTTTATATATCTAAAAAAAGGAGAGCTACAAAGCTCAATCAATTAAGCATACAGTGCTCTCTCTACTCTCTTATTTGGCCTCAGTGTTATATTTTCTGCTGCTAAGATTCCTACATCAGCTGTTCCCATGCTTTTCTCACTTCCAGGAATCAAGTTCTTATATGACTTTATGATCCTTATGAACACAAGAAGTGTCTTTCAGAGAAGATGGTAGTGGTGACTTCCTTTTATCCTCGATGAGAGTGTTTATTCTGAATATCACTGCTTTGGGTTCAATTCCATGCTTGGGATTTCATTCCTTCTGAGCTCATCTGCTGATTTCACTTGAAAATTGACATTCCTGTTCCAACCTGCCATTGAGGTGGGGTAATTGAGCTTGGTAATATATCCCTTGGGGAAGATCAGCATGAATCAACACTGGACAATCAGTGTGTGTGTATATATATACTCACATGTATATTTTAGAACAATTTGGTTGCAATGAAAAGGAGATATGTAGCTGTTTTGGTTATTAGCTATAATAAAATAACAGTATAGAGTTACGAAAATATTAAGAAAATATATAAGACAAAAAGAAAGTGAAAAAAGCACAAGAGTAGATAGAGGAGAGGAAAGGTATCACTACCCATGGATCCAGGAACAAGGAATTTAGATGTCCATGGGTCACAGTATTGATCAATCAGGCATGAGGGAAACCCTGGGGAAAAAAGAGTTCAACAGGTACTGTTGAATATACTTTCAGGTTCAAGTGAGAAAACTCAGGTACCTCCACTAGGGGAGGAGTGTGGGAAGCCTTAAAAACACGGATCATGTGCAGTCCTCTGGTGGAAGGCCCCAGAAATTTGTCTGGCAGTGCTTTAGTGGTTAGTGATGGTCACAGAAGCCATTTGTCCCATAAATTGGGGCAATAAGTGCATGAGCACTTGCTTCCTTCCCCACAGTTTGCCACAGTGGGAATTTTTTTCTAGGTGCATTAACTAGGATGTGCTAACCAGATCTTGCCTCCAGGCCTGGAATTAGCACTTTCCTGTTGAAAATTCCTTTCATCTGTGTTTACCTCAAGTCTGCTGTGGTGGCTTATCTTACACCAAGTTCCTTATGTGCCCTTGACAATGTTCAAGACAAGCAACCATGCTCTCTAGTCCTTATACCATCTTGTGGCTCAAACACTCCAAGCACTTCTCATCAGTTCACAGTTTGTCCACCAGGGTTGATGCATATGTAGCAGAGACAAGACAGGAAAAGAAGACAAAATAAGACAGATAAAGCAACTCACTGTCTAATACAATGTGATTACTCAAGAAAAAAATAAGACAGTAAATATCAGATGAATAACCACAGGGTATGATTATATTCTACAATTTATGGGATAAACCAGGATCTGAATAACTAAAATCACATCCCTTAATATTAACAAAGTTGCAAACAGAGGTAAAGTTAAAAGCCCTTAGAACACGTTAGGAAATGTACTGGATATGGGAATTCAAATGAGAATACAGGTCTCTGATTTACTTTCAAAAAACCCATTCCTGACATGAGAATTCCACCATGGAACAGAAGTTTTGCAATATAGTGTCTAATGACTGATAACATGTTTTGTTCCACAAATGGTTCCAGGTAGAGTTGCATGGAAGCTAGTAAAAAATCTTCCTTTTATTCTATCCATGTCCCATTTTGGTCCTTGACTGTTCTTTTTTCTGGTGTAGGAAGGGTGACTCAACCAGAACATTTTCTTTTGTTTTGTTAAGACTATTAAGTTTACTCATTAATATCTCTGAAAAAATTAGCCAGATCATTATAAATCTAAATATTTCTTAGAAAGAACAAGGAAATCTAATATATGTTTTGACAAATTCCTCCCTTCTGTGATTATTTCAAGTCCCTGCTGCAGTGGCTTATCTTATGACAAGTGGTTTCTGTGGTCCTGATAATGTTTGAGGCAGGCAAATGGGATCTTTATGTCCTTAAAATCCACTGAATAGAAAGAAATTATTAGGATTTAAATATAAGTATAGGCACTAGATCTAATATGACCAATGACTGAAAGAGGATGATAGCATTTACAGGGTGCTCTTGCAACTCACTGAATCAAAAACTGCAGGAATGGAAATCAGAGATGTCTATAAAAAACACAAAACTTTTATTAGAAGACACAGGCTGGTTTTCTGTAAATGTTACTGATTTCAAAATTTTCAGAAAACTTAAAATATCTGAGTTGAAGCTCCAGCCAAACTAATGATAGAACTTCTTTGAAATTCCAAGAACCTTTTACTCAAAAATCTGTAATTCAGTATCTGAGGCAAAGGAAAGGGAGACTCAGGAATGCAGAATTTTTCTTTGCAGAAACACAGTTTCAAATGTGTATGGCTCTGTACAGTGTTATAATCATGCAGTTCATGACTCAATAAATCAACACAGTTCAAATTAAACATCTCATTTATAGATGTTTTCTGATAATTGTTTTAAAACTGGGTGGATCAAAAAAATTGCATCACATCAACTTTAATATATCAGGCTTCAAAACTCTACATATAATTGTAAAGAAGAGCATTAAATGCTTTAAAAGTGAATGCTTTACTGTCTTCTCAGAAATTCATTATAACCCACTCCAACTTTAGAACCTGCAATTAAGATAGAATAAAATCCCTACTTGCTCCAGAGATGCTTAATAGGGTATGCATTAGAATTTTTCTTTTGGTAACCAGATCAAGACAAGACCTGACATTATTTTAGTTAATTAAATTATTTTTGCTAATTGGTTTTGTCTACAATTTATTTTGGATTTCTATGGATGCTAACTGTCAAGCAGGCAGCATAGTGTCTGTGGAATAACAGGCCACATAAATTTCTCAGTCTTGCCTGAGAAAGTGGCCTGGGAAATTATAAGGAGGAATTAAAACAATCCTCAGAGGCAGAAAACAGCCTTGCAGGTGCTGTTTGTCTGTTCCTTGTTTTTTTGCAAGAGAAGGTTGAGGGGTGGTGAGCCCCACTGACCAACGATGGTGCTGTGTTAGTTTACTAACCAATAAGAGTTTTCTTTTCTGTACTTTTCACGTATTGGTCTATAAAAAAGACCTGAGGTAATAAACCAAGAGAAATTCTCCAGTTTGAGACCACAAGAGAGTCTGTGTCGTTCTCACCATTCCCAATAGAGACAGATTTCCTACTGCCACAGTCTTTTGGAAATATTAATTAAAATGAGAACCCAGTCAAATTAATCTCTCCATCTTAGCTCAACATTAAACCCTTGATCTCCATCCATATTTAACAATGAAATTTAGGCAATTAGCTGAATAAAAAGTAATTATGAAAATAATAACTAAAACACACACCTTTTTTCTTGTATGCCGTAAACTGGATTAATTGTAAGCAATTTTTTTCTAAATTTCAATGAAGAAAGGTCAAGCATGGAATCTGTAACTTGGAAACATCAGAAATGTGTTAAAAGTAAGTAAACAATTTAAAAAAATATTCCATACATAAAAATTATAGGATATATTTCATCAGAAGATAATTTTAATGTTTTGCTTTCCAGTTTTCCTTCTGATAACAAAATACACAATACAGGTTTTAATACAGGAAATAGTGCTTCTTCTTACTTTCTGTTGGATGTATAAAATGAATCCTTCTTTTCAGTTAACATGCAGAAAACCAGTAACTTAATCTGACATATATAAAAAGTAGAATAAAGACTGATACACTAATTCATACCATACTGAAAAGCATGACAATAGTGTAAATCCATTTCCTGAGCACATCGATCTCTCCTGGCAATTTTCATTTCTGCCTTTTTGTTTATCTCCATCCCTTCACACATTCTTCCCTACCCTTTCCAAATCCTTACTTTTAAAAAAGTGTATGATAGTATTAAAACCAAAGCAATTAAAATAAAAATTAAAATCCATGTTTATTTTTTCAGATAAGTTACTATTTCCAGGACTATTATGGGAGAATTTAGCTGAATATTTACTTTTCATATATCATCTCTGTAAAGGAGTAAGACCTGCTCTTTGTCTACATGACAACATGAGGCAAATGGTCTTCTGCAGTACTTCTTAACAACAGTTTATTTTTTTTAATTTATCTGTTTTAAAATACCTAGCCATCAATTTTAAATAATGAACTGCTTGCATGAGAGTAATTTCAAGTTTATTTTTATTAAGATATATTGAACAGCTTTAGGCAAAGTATTTTATATGTCAAAAGACATATTGTGCTTAATTGCCATAAGAAACATGACAGGATAGCTACAGTAAGAAATTTTTGAGAACAGGCCTCAAAACAAACCTAAAGAAATGGCTGAAGCAATCACTCAAACTGGTATTAAATGAAAATGTTCTAATCCTTGATGTACTACTATATACTGATTGCCGAAAGCTTTTCCAGTTGAGAGCAATACGCTGAACATGTATCTGACAGAGGCCTACATTGGTACAATATTACTTCACAGTTAGATGATCACAAGCTGCCAAGTAATTTGTAGAGATACAGGGAACAGGAGACAGACATGTTCTTGCCCTGAGGCTTATCAGAAGGGCAGGAGAGTGATACCGACTAAGCAATGCACAACTACCAAAAAATATTTTCAGTATTTTACTTGCTCAGTACTTAGAAAATCTCCCCTTGCCTGGTGACTGGAAACTAAATATACCTCAAAACTGAAAAGGAGCAGGGAATTAAGTGGTATTTAGATATTCTTCAGAGTTTGCTTGCTTTTATTTCTGACCTTTTGAGTGAAGGAAACTTGTAGCTTGTCTAGTTTTTAAGATGTCAGTAGGCTGATACATGCATGAAACTTTTACACACAGCCAAATGCAAAGAGATTAGATAAGATAGAGGCCATCTCTTTGTCCATTGGTTAGAAAAAGAAGAAAAGCAAGAAAGAACTATAAGCCAAGGTACGTAGGTTAGATGTGATTAGTGAACCCAATATGTAAAAAGTATATTAGATAGTGACATTATCTCTTATACTAAAGAAGAAATATATTTATGGAAAACCAAAACTGTATATGAAGAAATATATGTAGCTGTTTATAGAGAATTTATGAATATGTTAAACGTCAGAAATACTAACTATAGCATTTTTTTTTTTTCAAGTAGTTACAAACAATAAAATTTCCCTGCACAGTCTATTTTTCATTGTTTGCTTTTAAAATTGTTTCTGGAATTTATGAAGATCTTTCTTGAATTATTTGTATTATTTTCACCTAAGCTACTATACTTACTACCAATATCTTATGAAGAAAAAAGAAGGAAAGTCAAAAATTCCTTTCTTACATTCTACTATCTCTAATATTTTTTTTACAGAAATAATGAGCCGAAAGTTCTAATTAAAAATGAGGTTAAACCAAGGTAAAATCTGGTTTATTTGCAGCAGATATATCATGCCACAACTCTCTTTCAAAGTTGAAGCCAATTGTTAGTTTTAAGTAGTTCAAAGTATAAAGTAACACCATCCTGGTCCATTCTCTGCTGCATTGCCCTACAATGTTTTGCAGCAATAAAGAAGCAGTGTCAGTTACTATAATGATAATATTATTTCAACCAAAATAAATATTCCAAAACATTCCAAGTTTACATCCTAACAGAACTTTAAAGTTAGACTCAGTAAAATGAGTAACATGACCCCTAATAAAACCCCTCAAAACAACTCAACAAAAATTAATCCAGGATTATTTTAAAAGGAAGAATGCAATATTTTGGCGGGGAAAACCAAAAGCACATACACATGTAAATGTTAATTGAACCAAAGGCCTCAAGTCACAGCCTCAAACAGGAAACCTTTTTAGCTCTTTTGTTTGTTTTGTCTTTTTTGGTTGTTTCTAAGGTGCTTATAATATTAACTGCTTAAAGTCTGTCAGCCTTGAGTTCTAGATGTATAACTAAAAGAATGAAAAGTGATCCCATAACATTCCCACATATCTGAATCCTTGTCTAACGCGTGCAATCTCTCTGCACTATTGGTGATCCTCTCGTACTTTTATAAAGTGACAGGACTCTATGAGTGCTCTGAACAATGACTATGTCATTTTCTTGAGGTAAGTATAAAAAGATAAAAACTATTTAAAATCTTTTAGCAGCAATGTTTAATTACAATATGAACTAGAAGTGTGTTTTAAACAGAGATGAAGAAAGAAACATGTCAAGTAGTCAGACAAAGAATTCAGATAAAACAATTAAAAATAATAAAAAAACCCTTGAAACCAGATTTTGCATTTTCTCTTTCCTGCTGCATCTTACAAGACTACTCAAATCAGTAACTTTCAGTGGCTTTAAAAATAGTAATAGAAATAGCAATAGCAGTAGGAATAGAAAAGATAGCAATACATTTTGTAGATATACTGGTTTTCCCTGTAAAGTTAAATTTCTTCATAGTATCTAGGATGTTCTGAAGATGTGATGAAAACAATGTTGATAACACACCAATGTTTTAATTATTGCTTAACAATGCTTACAGAGCATCATAGACTTTTCTATTTCTCACATCTCCCCACCAGTGAGCAGGCTGGTGGAGCACTAGGGTTTGAGAGGATACACAGCTCTGGGGAAGAAAGAGAAATGAAGGAAATGTTCAGAGTTAGAGTTTGTCTTCCTAAGTCACAATTATATAAGACAGAGCTTTGCTTTTCTGGAGATAGTTGTCAGTGAATTCCTTGTTTTTTCTTGCTTTTGTGTGAAGCTTTTGTTTTGCATATTACACTCTTCATCTCAATCCTTGAGTTTTCGCACTTTTACCCTTCTGATTTTCTCCCCCATCCCACCAGGGGTGAGTGAACAAGTGGCTGTGTGGCACAGAGTTGCTTACTGAGGTCACACCACAACCACAGAATAACTTCTAAAGTATTTAACTTAGATTTCTGTTGCCATAATATTGCTCTTCAACCCTGACATGCCTCATTTCCACAGTCACCAGGAGATGCTGGCTCCATACCAAGTCCAGCTAATCTTTAATACTTAAATCTCTCAGGAGAGAATTAATGTCATCCACACCCACAAGAGAATGGCCTTCTATAGCCTTCTCTACTGTTCAGCTTATTACTTTATTGAACAAAGTTTAATATAAGACTGTGTAGAGTGGATAGGTCCTACCTGTCACAGGTGACTAGACTGTTCCTTGACTGACAGACAGGATCCTGACTGACACAAAATTATGACTTTCTTCCCTAGTTCTCCTAGTGCACTCTATCCCATGGCACACCTACCACACCTGACAGAAGTAGGTTACTCACACATCTCACAGTCTTGAAATTGGATATCCAAACAAAAGGCACACAGATGTATATTTACATCACCCACACGTCAGCAGTGCTCAAAAATCCTGTCATCAGTGTTTCCTATTCTTGTCTCTTTCCAAATTTTTTGCGTAGAGAATCTAAGAATCACAGAATGAAAAGGGTTGGAACAAACCTTTGGAGGTCCTCTGTTCTGGCCCCCTCAACAAGCAGCATCATCTAGAGCAGGATGTCCAGGACAGCGTCCAGGCAGCTTTTAAGCACCTCCAAGAATGGAGAACCCACAAATCCTCTGGGCTTCATGTTGCAACCAAACTATTCTTCTTTCATCCTGTTCTTGATACACAGATAATGCAAAATTTAGATTCTATGCTGAATAACACCTTTTAAAATTCATGCATGGCAGTGGATACAATTTAGCGTTCATTTAAAAGCTTTGTTTCTTAAGGATTTAATTTAGAATTTTGATATCTTTAAAGGATCCTGAATCAAGATCCTCCAAATATGTAAGTACTTCAATATTATTTTTGCAGCTATATTACTTAGGTACCATAATTTCATATTCAGAGGCTTAATGTTACAAGAACGAGTCATACAGAAACATAAAACCATAGCATCATTTAGGTTGGAAAAGACCTTTAAGATCACTGAGTCCAAACATTAGCCTAACACTGTGAAGTTCAACACTAAACCACGTCCTTAATTGTCACAGCTACGCACTTCTTAATTACCTCCAAGGATGGTGACTCAACCGGTGACCCGGGCAGCCTGTTCCAATGCTTGACATATCCAATACAAACCTCCTCTGGTGCAACTTGATGGCATTTCTTTGTGAGAAAGAGGGCCAGGGTCATCTTTGAAAACTGGACATATGAACCTTTTTTAACTACTTTGAAAAATATGGCTCAGAGAGATTTACAGAATTGTTTTGTTTGCGTCTAGCCTGTTTTTCTTCCATCTGTCATGTGGTCCTGAAACGTAAGCAAACAGCCTCAATCATGCAATATTGTCCACAACCTGCTATTTAGAAAGTGCATTTTGTTAAGTGTATGATTGTTAATAAAGGGTAGAACTTGTTTTAATTTTCTCTGCACTCTGAAGTCATATAGCTTGCTCTTCTCATTCAACCAGGGACAAAATTCATTCCTTCTTCAGGTGACATTAGCAGATATTGAATAATTTCATATGCAGATCAAACACTGCATTACAGCCCTCTTCATGCCTAGAATACCAAATAATTAAATGCCTAATCCATACCTACTGCATCCTCCAAACTCTCACACAAAATACTGAGTTGCCCTACCTGCTACTTCTGGTAGTGTCTATCCATTATTATAGGCTATTATATAATTGTATTTGTACTATTGTTTATAATGAGGTAAAAAAAAAAGTGTTGGTAATTACTTCTGACCTTTTCAGTGTAGACTGTCTTATTCTTGGAGTATTTCTGAGGGATTTTTAAGACTGTTTTTTAGTGTGATCCTCCTTTTGAGGATTCATATGTATGCTGAATATCAAGCATTTTCTATCCCTTCCTTTCTTCTTCTAATCAATAAAAATGGATTATTAACTAAAAACAAGGCTTTATGTCTGATTTTCTTTCAAATATAATGCAAAACTAAATATAATTACCTCTTATGTTGTTGAAATTTATTTTGAAGTCCCCAAACTCTTTCCTAGGTGAATGCCAGTTAAACCAATATTAGAAAACATTGAAAAGATAATTTTTCACTTTCCATTGTTCAATCACAAACAAGTCAAATGGCAATAATTTCCTAAGAAGTCAAAATTTATCAGCTGTTGCTAATACTACCTCTAAATCTTACAGACAATCTTAGAGTAAACTTATTTTTTATGTGTTTGATTAATAAAAGCATTCATGCACAATATTGCAAAGAAAAAGATTTTTTAAAATATATATATATTATATCAGTTATTGAAGATACTGGAAGAAAAAATTTCCACGGAAATCTGTGACCTTACCACAAATCTCAAAAAAGTCATATAGTTTCTGATATCAAAGTAATTCTCACAAGTATCCAGATGTCAATACATATATCTGAGTTTTCTCCTTTGGGAGTTACATTATTACACTTAGTCAAACATAGATTTCTTTATCCTGAAAACCTTCTGAAAATGTTTTTCCCTGGAATGATTAAATGCAAATTTATGAAAGAATGTGATGATTTAGAATATAATTAACTCAGCATAGTGTAAGACACAAGATAATTTCTTTGTGAAATCAGCACTTGAGATTTCATTTAATTATTAAGACATTCAGGTAAGTTCTTTCACATAATACTGAAAACCATTAAATACTGAGAACTTTTGTTTAAGAAAAAAAGAAAGAAAAAAGCTTTTTGTAGGAGTTTGAGGGACAGTTCTAAAATTTCAGTAATATCCAGTCCTGTAGAAAACAATCTGTTAAGAAATTATGAACAAATTGCTTCAGCTGAACAGAGAACTGCAAAACTTAGACTTACAATTTCATTTCCTAATTCAGCTGCTTGTTTCTTCAGTTTCTTTTAATTAGGTTGTTATCAAATCTGCTGAGTTACAAAGTGCAAAACACTTTGGGAAAATTGTTTAGGACCTTGTCGACCTTCTAGTGATATTTTCAACCTATCACTCAATTCTGATGGAGGAGAGAAAATCCGTTACCTTACTCTCATTGATTACTGGAATTTTGGAATAATCATATTACTAGATGCTGAGGTTGGAAGGCAATAAAAAAGGAAGAAAACAGGAAAATCTCTGTAGGCAGTGATTTGGGGAACACTGGTTAAGTTTCTTTCATTTTCAAATTTATTCTTGCAAATAAAAACCTGCTGTACTTGTTTTAGAGACCTTAGGTGCCTATCTTTACTCATTCTATCCCTTTATCACTGTTGCTCAAGGAATAAACAGGTACAAGGTACTCTCTATTTTCAGTGAGAGTAACCCACTAAAGCAGAGGTGAAGGAAGTTCAGAACTCACTGGGAGAGCACACTCAGAGACAGACACAGACACGCTTGCACTGACCCTGGGCAGTGAGCAGGCTGGGCTGAAGGGTCCTCAGGAGGGCTGGGCTTCCTTAACCAGGCACTCAGATCTCACAGCTGTGCCTGACCTTGGACTTCTATATCTTCCAGGCTCCCATGCCAAGGACCTTCTGGAAGTTGGGGGCTGCCAGGTTGAAAGCTTTTAGGGTGACTGCCTTAAAACATCTCCACCAGACACCATCAGTTTTGCCAGTGCTGGACAACTTCCTCCAAGCAGCGTAGTCAAAATTACTGGCCTCTGCTTTCTGCTGATCCCTGCAGTGGTAGGCAGGCCATCCTCTACTCACTCTTTATCAAAAACTACCCATCAGCTCCAGCACTATTCAGTCATATGAAATTAAAATATGCTAGAATTTTCAAGGGCAGAAACACCAAGCACTCTTAATGAAAAATGGACACAGAGAATAAAATTTGTTCATGAGCTTGATCCAGCTGCTGCTGAAGTGAAAGAGAACTTCCCCATTGATTAAGAAGGGTGCTAGTTACTTTTCTCCCTGTATGGTAAAGTTTGAACATAACATTTTACCCCACTAATAGAGAGAAAATTTTTTGTATATATGATTAAAACCCCAAGGAAAGCACATTCTTAAAAGGAAGGGACATTTTAAATCTGACTAATTAGATGGAGAAAGTTAGAGTAAATAATTATTTAGCCTGGAGAAAAGAGGACTCAGAGGTGACTTTATCACTCTCCACAACTTCCTGAAAGTGTTTGTGGTCTGGTGGGGGCTGGTCTCTTTCACCAGGCAACAACTGACAGAAGTAGAGGACACAGTCTAAAGCAGCGCCAAGGGTAATATAAGTTGGATATTAGGAAAATTTATTTTACAGAAAGGGTGGTAAAGTATTGGAATGGTCTGCCTGGGGAGGTGGTGGAGTCACTATCCCTGGATGTGTTTAAAAAAGGCTCGATGTGGCACTCGGTACCATGGTTTATTTGAGGTGTTAGGGCATGGGTTGGACTCAGTGATCTTGAAGGTCTCTTCCAACCTAGTGATTCTGTGATTTTGTGATTTCTGGATACAAGTAGGAAGAAGCACACTTTTTCACCAGAGAGAAACAAATATGTTGTTTTCAATTTCTCCCAAATGGTGATCATGTATGTCAGTTCCCAAGACAAATATTGGTCCACCTCTGATTGACTCCTGAAACACTTTTCATCTCTATCATGAAAAAAAAGTTTCTGTAGCTATGGTGCAATGCATTTATTCTGGTTCCCTTTATATTTTCTTAGACTTAGCCTGGTAAAATTACCACGTTCAATATCTAGATGACCTTCTCTATAGGTCAATATCACTTCAAAAATTTTTGTTTCAGAAATTGTACTTCAGCTGCAGACAAATAAAGCTGACAACATTGATCTTTGGTCTTGATGCTGCATCATTTAGTTGAGTGCTGAAAGGAAATAATATCCTGACTTCCATTGGGAAAGTCTGAACCCCATGAGGCTGTACCCAAAGTGGTGTACTCCTTTTTCAATATATATCAATACACTATTTCACTTTTTCCTTATCTGACACTTTAAGTTTGTACACAGAGTTTTATATTCATACATTCCTCAAAGATTTAAACCCAGAAATGGATCAGATTTAATGCAGCTAATGTAAACTTCTAAGAAACAGTGCATTCCTAATGCACAGGAAGACTCATACTCCAATAACAGGTAAATGATATTCTTAAATTCATGGCTGTTGTACTTACATGATTACCCAGTGCATTTTTTCTCACACATATATCTGTGTGAATTTCAGAGTACAGAAAAAAACTGCAATATGGTTAAGAAAACACAACAATTCTTATTTCTAAATAAAATTCATAAATGTCTTATTACAACTTATTTTGAGTATTCCTCAGTACTTTATCTATTTTCAATATTAGTCTTCATTATTAGCATAAGTGAATATTTGCATTGTTTTACATTTTATATTATTTTATGAACTTCCATAATTCCACAAATAAAAAAGAAGTATGAATCGAAGCAGGAGTGGTTTTGGACAAAATTCTTATGTTCAAACAGGGTTAGTATACAAATTCACTTGCTTTACACAGGCCCAACTGTGAACTTCATTTATATATGTTTTATCTGTAATTATCAATGTAGATTGGATAAACTGCCCTTGCATATAAATAGGCACTTAAGCCTACAGTTACCTGACTGGCATGTGCAATCAGGGTTAACTGATCTTGCAACTGCATGTCTGATATATCTATAATGCAGGCCAATAAAATTCAGTTAATTCTCAATAATATTTTGATATGAGAATCATCCTGGCCCTTTATTTTAGTAGCAAGCTGCCAAAAATAGAATACCTGAGCTGCATTTTCTGCACTGCCTTGTAAGGACAGGCTAAAATTTCTGCCCTTCAGCTCCACAAGATAAATCCAATCTGTCCTAAAGAGTGATAGCAAAACACCAGTAAAGTCAGGAATTTTCTTGTTACCAAACTACTCTACCTAATAAATAATTTGTTTTGCCACTATTTCAACCTTTCCTGCTGAAATTGATGATGCTAATATCCACACAAAAAGGTACTTAATTTCTATTTCCTCCTTCAAATTTTGAGAGTAAAGGGAGTTTTAAATAAATGTTATAAACCTGCAAACTATTCTTATGCTGTTAGCATTGATTAAAAAACAAAACTGAGAAAAATTCCCTTTCAGTGTATTGCCAATAGCTAAGAGATTAGTTACAGAAGAGTTTCTCCAAAACATTTCAGGTTAATAAGCATTTCATTAAAAATTTCTTCAGAAAGGAAAAGTAGCTGCAGGCTGAGGTTGCTTCTCCACAAAAGCACATTTTCTATACATGCTGTGCTCTTTGAATAGTGGTCGGTCAGATCACTGGGGGCAGGTTGGAAGGAATGCAAAAATCTGACTTTTAACTCACCTTTACATAACCTTCTTCTCTGAAAAGTCCATTTTCCTGCTGTCTTTAAATAACTTGAGGGCTCTGCCTTCTAATGCTAAGCTGCAGAGGCCACTGTGGAACATAAATATTGTCCAATGAGCAGCACAGGATAAATGAAAACAAAATATGCTCCTTTTCCTTTATGTTAGATGCTGAGAGAGTTAGACAAGAGCCATGTGTCATTTCTATCTACTGCATGATATATGATATATTTTGAGAGTTAAGCACAAATAAATCTGATGAAAGTATGGAATACCAGTATATTTTTAACACTGTGTATATATAAATACATATATATAAGTCCCACCCATTTTCTCATTCCACAAAAATGTATGTGTACATATTCACCTGGTAAAACTGTCTATACTCCAAGTTCCATGTTGAACCTTTGACTCGTCTTTCATACACCCGGGAAAAGGCAGTTCCTAGAGCATATGCACACTGGCCATGTCTAGACCTTCCCTACATGATCAGAGCAATTGTGCATTTCACTGTATCACAGAAGTGAGAAAGGAAGGCTAATACATCTGGGAAATTAGCTTGTACACATGGGAAGAAAGACATAGTGCACATATTTCTGTTAAGGGAATTCTAGACAGAAATATGCTACCTCTAGTCAGTGTGTTACTACAAAAAAAATGACCAGAAACATGATGTGGCTGAATCACTTAATGTTTTCTTATACAATTCGAGCCTTGGTGGGAGCTACAGATTATGGTTTGTTGGGGCAGAGACTGACCTTTTTTTGCTAAAACATATCATGCCTTCTGTAGGATTTAATTATGATTTTTCTACAGTATGTACTAACTTTGTGAAGAGTCATTCAGAAAGGCCACTTTCAAAGCAATCTATAACTCAAAAACAGATTAAAATATTATATATTATATATTACAACATGTGAAAAAGAAGAACATGAAAACCATTTGCTAAAGCTAAGTTCAACTCAGTACTGAAGTGCTGGATAGAGCAAGAAATTCTTCCTATTGTTCCCTGACACCATCCCAAGAGAAGGCTAATTCCACTTGATGTCTTCTGGACATAATGTAAAATAAAGCCTTGTTTGTCCTTTCCTACAATGGGTATGATTTCTTCCCATCATAGCTGTTTTTTCCTCAGAGTGCTGTTTTCTAGGGAATATCACTTTTCACAATGCTTAGAGAGTCCAAAGAATCCAACTGGAGTGTGTACTCAACTAGATAGTAAAATGCCAAGAACTTGATACTTCACTATTTTAATATTTTTAATTTTTATATTCTTATGTCACTATTCCAGCTGTGGGAAAATATCTGAACCACTCTTCATTCATGCAGAGACAAATCTTGCATTCATCAAGGATGAATTTATCAGTAACCACCTGACCCATCTTACAGTAAAAATCAATAGAAAAAGCACGTGTGTCAGACAAAGCACCAAGCATAAAGAAACAAAGATTATTTTAGCGATGAAAGAAGCTGCATATTACTAATTGCAAAGCAAGCATCCTGGTAACAGACAGAGAGGAGGGGTGATACCTCTACCTCTCATTTTGGAGTCAGTCATGGATCATCATTATATGCTGATCTTTCACTTGTCTCTTATGTGTTATATAAAGACTCAAAAAGGAAATGTATCTGTACACGAATAACAATTCATTTATTTTATAGCCTATTTCACTTTGTTGTCAGCTAATTAAATTCTGTCACTGAACCAAATATGATTGATTGTTACCTGCAGCTGTTCCCTGTAAATCTGTCTACAAATAGTTGCTCCAAGATGGTAAGTATTCTGACACTCTCCAAAATACAGTCAGCAACAGAAACAGACAACCGTTGAAAATTTAATCTTAACAAGACTTCCACTAAACTCAGGGGGATACCATTTTTAATTAGAAAGAGAATGCCAGACTCTGAGTAGCTAGCTTAGCAAAGTTCACTAAGTAACATCTGATTAAAAGACATAAGGTGGACAGCTTTATTTTCCCTCTAGGAAAGCCAGCAACTACAAAAATTATTTCCTTCATAAAATGCTTTTAGTCATCAAAATGACAGGCTTGTCAGACCATGTGGTAGATTACCTTTTATTTTTTTGAGTCTGCTTTCTACTGCTGTGTCAATAAAGAGAACACACTTCTAGAGAATTTTGTTATGAACAATATTGTGTATGATGGTGTGATGGGACAGAATGCACTCTCAGAAATGATGCAGTGACACAAAACTGGAAAAAGTGATTCACCGGTGGTGTTGCTCCCATTCAGACAGACCTTGAGAGGTTGTAGAAATGGATATTGCAAAATCTAATACAGATCAACAAGAACTACAAATTGAAAAATAGGAGAATTATAGAATGGCTTGGGATAGAAGGGACCTCAAAGATCATCTAGTTCCAACCTCCTCGACATGGGTAGAGATGCCACTCACTAAATCAGATTGCTTGGGCTTCCATCCCAACTGGCACCGAACATTTCCTTGGATGAGCCAGTCACAACTTCTCTGGGAAACCTGTTTCAGCACCTCACTTGTCTCACAGTGAGGAGTATCTTCCTAACATCTAATCTGAATATCTCCTTTCTTAGTTTAAACACATTTCTCCTTGTCCTGTTACTATAAATCCTTGTAAACAGCCCCTCTCCAGCTCACTTACAGGGCCTCTTTAGCTATTGGAAGGCTGCTATGTGTCCTCATATCCTTCTCTTTCTAAATTGAACAAGTCCAATTCTCTCTGTCTTCATAGGAGGGATGCTCCAGCCTTTGGATTGTTTTTGTGACCCTCTTCTGGACCCAGTCTAACAGTTCCATGTCTTTCTTGTGCTGAGAACCCCAGGGCTGGATACATTACTCCAATGGAGGCTCTACGGGGTACAGTAAAAGGAGACAGTCTCCTCCTTTGACCTGCTGGCTACCACTCTTCTGACGCAGGTAAGGAAGTGGTTGGCCTTCTTGGCTATGAGTGCATGTTGTTGGGTAATACCCAACATTTTGTCCACCAGTATTCCCAAGTCCTCTGCAGAAATGATCTCAATGAGTTCTTCCCCAGGTCTGTACTCACCACATCTGGGATTCCCCTGACCCCAGCAGCACATCGCACTTGAACTTGTTGAACTTCATGAAGTTCTTGTGGGCCCACTTCTCCATCTGGTTCAGACTGCCCTGGATGGCATCCCATCCTTCCGTTGTGTCAACTGAACTTCTCTGCTTTGTGTCATCCACAGACTTGCAGATGACAATTTCACTGTCTTTGTCATTGATGAAGATATTGAACAGTCCCCATCCCAGGACAGAGCTCCGAGGGACATAATTCATCACCAGCCTCTACTTGGACATGGAGCATAACTTCTATATTTTGATTTTTTTTGATCCTCTCTAATACCCTTCCTTATAAGGACAGGAGTTGTCTTTGTGGTTCCTATTGGCCTGTTTAAGTTCTAGAAAATAGAGAAGTTGATCAAACTATCCACATTACACTCTAACAGTTTAGCCTTCTCTGCAAACTGTGGATAAACAGGTACTGTTGTGATGCTGTCTGTGAAATTAGTGAAATTTGGGGTAGGGAAAAAACAGAGAGGTGATAATATATATTGAAACTGAATTTTAACTTATTTGAAAATAACCATCAGATGAGGCCTCCAATCCTTGATACCAGTGTTTACTCAGTTAGGACATTGTTAATTGTTCACAATTAACAGGAACTGACAGGATCTGACTGGTAACATCTTTCATATGGAAAGATGAAAGTTTCTGAAGTTTCCTTCTTAGTGCAGATAACAAGTATGATTGCTGTTCCATTTATTATGGTAAACATAATTTCTATGAAAACGTGCTTTCACACATTAGAAATGATGTATGGAGACTGGCTCTACATACCAGGAAATAACAATATTAGTAATGAAATGTTAATGCTGCCATCTGGCTTCTTTAGTGTCTAGCTGAACTGGAAATTCAAATCAAGCATACATATTTTTTTCTCAAAATGCAGATTTTTCGCAAGGTAGTTATCTTAATTCTCAGCTATTTTTCTTCTGTATTTAGTTGAAGAACTCTTTGGCTATATGTGATAGCTTTTACAAGAAAAAATTAGATAATTCTCATATTGACTTAGAAGCTTGCTAAATCCTTATCTGTTCAGTACTTACCCAGAAGCAATTCAGATGTGTAGCTTACTCATATTAAATCGTACTGTACTCCTCAATTTCCAGTGTTTAGCAGTGGTATTTCCAGAAGAAATTATCACCACATAAATGAAGAAAAGCATAATTGTGCCATTTTATGAATGTTTCTTTTACTGGAAATTATTCTTCTTCTGTCCAAGTAATTTGCCATTTGTAATTTAAAGGTATGCTCTCACTGAAGTAATCATAGTCTCTGATGCAGAGTTGCATGTGTATCTGTCTCTGTATTTTACAGCCTTTATACAATGTGAGAAAAGGTAGATTTCAGGTCTGTGAAAGTAAGCACTGGGTGTCTTTACACATCTGTGAGCATGCTCATACTAGGAAGGAGAATAAACCTGTCTTAGGTACAGTCACATGAACTTGTGAGGTTGAGAGTAGTTTCAAGGGTGCTCCTTCTGGCAGTGAGAAAGCTATCAAAATAAAAGGCACAGATTGTAGAAACACTGATAAATTATTTCCAGACTGCCTCATTCCTAGGAATGTACTACCCTCCTTACTCCATACTCCACTCTGTTCAGTTCATGATTATGTATAAATAGCAATTTTTAAACAAGGAGGGAACAAGTGAGAAGAAGCCTCTGGGCAGTTAAATAGATCATGCCACCAGCAATTTCAACGCTGCTTAACTGCACTGAATTTAAAATGGAGTACTTCTTCCCAAAATACATACATGGCATCGCTTTCAGTTCAGTGCTCTTATATTTTTAACCTGACTTATGTTTTTCTGTTTCATGTACCTTGAAGTTGAGCTCCAATGCTCTAACACAGAAATGATCTTTCACATGTACCTAAACTTCTGTAGACATCCCCACAATCAAAAGCTGAAAGAGGGATGCCATTGTCCCTGCAATTATAGTGCAAATGCAGTTTACTCAAGACGAGAGAGCTTTGGGTCTTGAAAAAAATCTGTTTTTTTCTAGGGAAAATGAAGAGAGGCATGCCTACATAACAACTGAAACAAAAAGCTGTTTTGAAGCTCACAGTATTTTAAACCAGAAAGATCTATGGTGTTTGCCCATCTGTGTGCTGATTTGGCTGGGGTAGAGTTATTATTCTTTACAGTAAGCTAGTATGAGGCTATGATTTGCATTCCTGCTGCAGTACTGTTGGTAACAAACACAATGGTGTTTTGTTACTGTTGAGAAAAGCCTGCATACCATCCAGGCCTTTCTGACCTCTCACACTGCCCCACCAGTGAGGAGCCTGGGATGCACAGCAGAGAGGGGACACAGCCAGGAGAGCTGACTCCCACTGACCCAAGGGAAATTTCATACTATATGTTGTGGTGCTCAGCATAGAAAATTGGGGAAAAAGAAGAAAGGGGGGGACATTTTTAGTAATGATGTTTGTCTTCCCAAATATATGCTCCTTCCTGGGGGTGGAACACCTGTATACCTAGGGTAAGTGATGAATTAATTCCTTATTTTTCATAAATTCCTTGTTTGTTCTTTGCTTGTGTGCACAGCTTTTGCTTTACTTTTACACTGTCCCAATGTCACTTGAAGTGCATCTGTGGCCCTAAATGAAAAGAGGGAAAATATCTAAACAGTCTCTGAAGAACTGTTGGTATGTGCTAAATTGCATGAAGAAGATTAAGGACAGGGAAACGTTTGTCTAAGTAGAGATGGATTAAAGCCTAAATACAATATTTTACATCAGATACCATGTAAGAGCAAAATCAGAAGAAAACAAACAGAACAAAACAACCCACTTAAAATTTAGATAAGAGAGATGGGAAGCAATTATATCTCTCAGGTAAGTTCTCAGCAGGTCATTGAAAGCCACAACCACTTGTTAGGCACTGTTTGAAATGGACTTAGAGTGCTAATCCTAGAGAACTAAATTAAGAATTATGAATAAATATAAATACAGAAATAAATAAAGATTTAGTTTTTTATCTTTTTTTTTTTTAAAAAAAGACTGATCACCATTTCCACATCAGTGCAGGTCTGCCTTACCGTTATACCAACCTTTGTGTGTTCATTGTGATAGTGAAGTTAAGTGATACAGAAGAAGGCTGAGATCTGTTCTTTGTCTTTGCTGTGAGATTGCCTAACTGGATATTTTCTACCTGTTCACTTTGCCTTTTTTTTTTTTCCCCTGATTTATCAACCTTTCATTTATCTCTATATTGCAAGTTCTCTTTTGTATTTTTTTACAGTAGGAGATAGAAGCAAATTTGTCTTGTTTTCTGATCTACCTTTATTGTTGTGTTTCATTGTCTGCTTCCTCTGTGACTTTATTTTTATTTTCAGTGAGAATGAATTTATGCAGAAGTGATAAAATCTGCATATGAATGTGCAGACTTTTAGTTAACACTGCAGTTTTGACATTAAGGCTTTTCAAGCATAACCATATTGCTCATTGTTTGGTGTTCTTTCTTTTCCTTGTATTCTGTAATCGGTTATTCCACACAATTTCTTGACCTTTGTTTCAATTTACATGAAGAATTGTTATCCTGCCCTAGTTTTATGTATCAAGTACATGAAGTTCATATCTATCCCAAAGATGAAAACCATAAACAGAAGAACCAAGCATTATGTTCTAGTAATTTATGTTTCATATATACATTAATAATTTAATCTTTTAATTCCCTGTAACCAAGTGAAATGATTAACAGCTTATAGGTAATCCATAACTGTGAATACTGTTTACATTGTATATGGTATATAGTATAGTACATAATATATAGTATATAGTATACACTATACACTACATATTATATACTATATATTATTTAGTACTATTACATTTTGTTCAGTGCATGAGGAAAAGCAGCAAGCTACAGTAAGAAGTAAATAATGAGGAAGCTGTAATAAATCAAAATTCCATGATAGCTGATGTCTAGGTGTAACCAGAATAATTATTTTACTATAATTACTTTTAAAAGTGAAGTTAATAAATTTTCCACAAAATGTTCAGAAGGTAAAAGTAAAATATTCCTTACTTACCCATTTCAGTACTACTGGAAGGTTTCAGTCTAAGGTAGAAACACAGGGTTAACATTTTATTATTCTCATATTTTGCTTGAATATTGGTTTTCAGGCCATATGCTGAATTTATATTATTATATAATTTTAATATTTAATATCAGGTTTTTAAAATAGAAATGAAAGACTACAATATTTTTGAAATATGTAGTATTGATGGTCTCAGTCTTGTTCCACCAGATTTTCTATTTTGTGGAAGAGTGGCTTTTGAATCTTATTTGGTAGCACTCAGCACAAAATTAAAACTAGAAATTTCCCTTGGAGAAAAATTAATTCCATTTTCACATACTGGCCTCATTATATTATTAAAATGTTCTAAAACTGGTTTTTTCTTTGCTTACTAATTTAGGACTATGTTCCTAGGTGTAATGCTGAAACACTAAAAAAGTCCTGACTAACTTCTTTAAACTTTTCCACATTGCACGTCTACAGGTGCATAGAGATTTTTCACCACTGGTGTCACATGAGTCCCAGTTTTGTCATTAAACTGGATAAAACACAGAATGTTTTAGAGCATTCAACCAATTCAAACTTCAACCTTGGTTTTCTTAACCTCTCTGTAACTCTGTCCTACTTTCTAGCCAGTATGCAACATTTCCTTCATACTTTCTCCAAATCTGACTTCAGTTTCTTTATTGAACTTGATTTATTTTCTTCATAGTGGCAAAGCTTTCTTTAAAGAAATGGATAGTGTTTCTTCATGTGAATCAGACTTAGCATATATCTAAAGGTGATGGCATCTTATAGAGGGAGAAAAGAACTGGTGCAATCTTCATCTTCTTTCCTAAGGTTGAACTTTAAAATAATGCTTTATGAAAAAAAAACGTGTTATTCTGGTTTCATTTCTAAAATATAAGTTCCTTCAAAGAGTTATCACCCTTCTTTGATAAGTTTTGGGGAAAAAGGGCAAGGCACACTCAGGCTGGGTGGGATGAATTATCTTTAAAAACATTCCAATTATTCAAAAGAGAGATATAGATAACCTTATCAGATCAGACTTCAAAAACACTAAATTTCAGTGCCAGATACTAATGAGCTGTGTAGAGTTCAAGGTATCTGAGCTCATAATTGGGATAATTTCATACCCATCTCAAATAAAATGTCTACATATTGATACTGAAATAAAAAAATATAAATAAATAAATAAAAAGGTAATATCCTATATCTCTTTTCTTCCTTTCATTTTATAAGAAGCCACATTTGACAGTTAAGTTATAATCAAGACTAAATCTTTCTCTAAAAAAGCTAAATGTCCTGCCAAATATTTCCATACTAGATATAAATATATATTTTTGTAGAAAAAGATGAAATAATAAAATGCACCTGCATTACTGAAAATAAATGTCAGGAAAGCTCAGCATAAGTCAGTCATGGTCCTGAGTGCCAAGGACACATTGATAAATGAACTCATTAATGACATAAAACTGGAATGAAAATTCAGGCTTACTGATGTCTAACACTAGTAAGAAGAAAATATCTCAAAATTCAATATTTCTGTAGCCTGCTCATTTGAAAGACTGTGCAGACATCATAATTACATTGCCTAACTATAGAAAAAAAAAGCATTATTACAATCATGCTTATCTAGCACCTTTTTTCCAAGCATCTAAAGTGCTTTGTAAATAATAAGTAATTAAATATGCTTATAACTTCCTTTTTGGTGCAGACAACAAAAACAGTTCCCTTTCTTTATAGGTCTCATATATTTAATGGTGTACAGTGACAGGTGGGAAGTAGAAAATTTCTTCTGATTAATGTTACATGAGCAAGTTCATCTTTCATGCCTTGTCATTTTAGGAGGCTATGCAACCACTGTTTTTATGCCTTTAGCATATCACACACAAAAACATACCTGGGACTTCCAGTGCCCTTTGTGAAAAACTGTTTTGCCTCCTAGCCATGTAGCAAGATTCTGTATTAAACTCATGTTTTTGTCTGTTACCTCCTTTTACAACAGTGAAATGTCACAGAAAATCTCCCTTCGATCATCTGTGATGACATCCCCATAAAAATCTAAGAAAACAAAACACAGCTTTAATGCAATATAAATCTTCTGAGTATTCCGGATGATTTTTGAAGCTCATTATGTAAAAAAGACTCTTTACAGCAAAAAGCCCAGAAAACCCACAGAAGATCCAGACAACATTACAAATGTGTACCATGCCCCCACTTCAGTTTTCTCACCATTCTACAGCTGGGCAGGATTGAACACGTCCAGAATATTTTCACCAGGCGACATTCAGTTCAGTCACATCAAAGAATAAAAAAAGGGGCAATGACTGCACACATGTGCAGTGCAAGAACATTTTTCTCTTTTTGGTTGCAAATCTAGAGAAGGCAACATGGCAAAAAAGATTTAAGGAGATATAAAGGCCTGGGAAATAAAGTTATGAAATAAGTGTTTCAAACTTATGACAAATACATCTCTGTACATATATGTTTATAGAACATTAATCTATGTCTGTGACCATATATAAACACACACACACATACATATATAAATGCATTTATTTATTAATTTATCCAACTAGGCAATTAAAAAAAAAAAAATGTTAAAGTGCAAGAGAAGAAAAGATTCAAATGTCAGAAGTTCATCGAGTTTCCTAAACTCTCTCATTTAACTTTCAGGCTGTAATTTTTCTACTCACCAGAGCAGGTGGTTCACATTTTGTTCTGGCAGTTTATGTCTTCTTAAAATTTCATATTGATTCTTCTGAGATACGTTGTCTGTCTCTTTTGTGGCTTGGAATACACCTTTTTAAGTGCTGTAGATATATTCTGTGAATATTTAATACAATTGCTGTTTTCTTGTAGGAAAGATGAATCATCTAGTTTTGCCTTTGGAGCTGGGAGCTACTTTAAATATGCAACTATTTTCTTCAAGTCATTCCTGTAGGCAAGAGGGAGCACATCTGCTCCCTAGTAACTGGAAAAAATTCAATATATGAAACCTCATAAAGTTATATATTTTTTTTTTCAGGATTTGCATAAGATTTTTCTATGAAAGAATATTAACAATTGCTGGAAGTTATTTTTCAAAAATAAAAAAATATTCCAAAATGAAAGAATGCATGCTTGAAATATATCAATATATCTGGGGTTTTTTCCATTATTATTATCTGTAATGGGATTTTTTTTTGGTGGGTAATAATCAAAAGGAAAATATTTCTATTTACTCTTGATATTCTAGTCAACAAAACTAGAGGACATAAGACTTGCTGAAATTTAAAGGCTAAGCTAAGGAACAATTTGAAAGAAATGCAATGACTACAGACC